CGAGGCTCAAAGCTTTGTCAGAGGCCGTCAGTCTCAGGAGGAATTCTGATAAAGAAAAGCCGGAGGGCGTCGGAGGCCAGGCCTCCTTTTGTGCTGGAACTATTCACTGTGAGGGACTGAAGTCTGGCTACTCTGGAGTCACACAGGGTTTAGGGGGCACTACACCCCCGTTAAACCCCCACCCTCCTTATTTAAAGCCCACTGATGCCCTCTGATTGTCCAGTTAGCTATCAAATCTTTATTAACCTCTCATCTCCTGTGCTTCCTCTCTGGAGCCTTCTGCATGTCATCTGACGAGGAAAACTCCGTTTCAGTGAAATCACTTCACATCATCTGGAGCTCGTTTCTGTTTGAAAGCAGGCTTATGTGATCTGCATGAGAGCGTGGACATGTGGGAGTAGACTGAAGTGCATTAACAGGGCTGCTATAGGTGGAAAAGGCTGGCGGAGGAAGAGGTGAAATCCAACGGGCCGCTGAAGAGAACGATGAAGTCACATTTCTGGTTGACGTTATTCTTTCTTGTAGTTAAGCAGGGAAGGTTTGAGCTTTCTGCTCAGCAACTCCGACGACGGGCGAATGAAATGAAAATCCATCTTTAAAGGGGCATTATGGAAGTGTGACAGCCAAAACATGTATAGAAATAATAAATGTCTTCTTCATACATTCTCCTGCAATGCCCTGGTCCTGTAGAATGAGCCCTGGCATTTTTACTGTGATTGCCTGTTTTTCTGTAAAATCACAGAAAAAGAGAGATGCTCGGGTCGAGCAGGCTGCTTCATGCTCGTTCACGCTCAGGCATCGCCCGTAGCATTTGCTATCCGTAGCTTTAGCAGCAGAGAGAGAGGCAGTGCCACTTTGTCGCTGTTCCTAACGCCTAGTGACAAAGCTAGCTACATTTCTGAGGACCCTTAGCTACTTTCTGTAGAACTTTCTTCTAGATATTTCCTGCTAATTAGCAGCAAAATAGCCATTTTCACTCCGAACCGTTCTTTGGTTTGACGTTGTTTCAGCTGTCATCAAGGATATAAATGTTACAGATACTGTGAATGCTACTAGCAGTGGCGGTTCTACATGGAATTACTCTCTGGGCGAGGCCCCCTTTGAGCCCCCCACCACCACCCCACCTGCACGAACACACGCATGTTTTCTACAAACAGGCATGTTTTATTAGAACGACTATTGAACATTCATTTTTCTAAGTTGCACATATTTACATTAATTACTATGAAGTTGTCAGAATGTACAGCACTATACATTATATACTGTATCAAAATATATAGAATCAAATATACAAAAACAAACACTACAGCACTGCACTTAGAACAGAAAACACAAACTAAAATTAAAACCTAACCTTGATGCAAAGTCATCAATAATGTCATCATATGAAATCTGCTCCCCTACTGAGTGATTGATACTAATCAGAGCCAGGTTAGTGAGCCGCCCCTGAAACATAGGTGACCTCAGGTGTGACTTGATCAAGTTTTGAAAAGCTCCTCTCAACTGGAGCCACAGTGACTGGCAGAGCAGTCCAAAAGTTGGGGTAGATCTCCAATAGATCTTTATCATGATCCATAATATTTTAGAATTGCCTCTATGTCACAATCTGCCCCTGCCTCCTGATTGGTCTTTATTGTTCTCACCTGCCCCTTGTTAATCTGCCCACGTGTTCCTGATTGTTTCCCTGAGTATTAATACCTCCCGTCTTGTTTGAGTCTTTGTCGGATCATTGTTGTTTGTTGTCAGCGTTGTTTTGTTCTGTCGTTCCCGCTCTGCCATTAAAACCAGTTTTACTTTATCCGAGCCTGCATTTTTGCCTCCTGGTCAGCTCCTCCACACCCGCAACGCGACACTCTGAAATTGTAATTTAAACTGACATAAAAAACTGTAGACTATACCAAAAATGCCAACTTTTACAGAACAAATCATGTAAAAAATAATCAGTGCAGCCATCTGCAATAAATAAACAGGATAGTGAGTGGTGACTGGGGAGTTTTCTTCTGCTTGTAGAGTTGTTTTATTTATTATTATGTGAACATGATCAACATGTGTTTGTTGTTGTTCAGGCAGGCCACGGGCTGCAGCGAGCATTTAACAATTCCTAGTTTGAATCAGTAAAAAATGATTTAAGGAATTTTTTTGAACCATTTGAATATTCGTTTCAATATTTCAGCCCCATTAGCTCTGTTAGCAATTAGTTGACCGAATTTAACTGTTAAAATCCCAGTTAACTGGTTCAAAAACTGAAAACATGCATCATGAGAGCGTACATACCTTTATCTTTCTCCTCTTTTTCTTTTTTATTCCTGAGTCGGGCACCTGGTGGTTTTAGCCTTTTTATGCTCGTCTCTTCTGTTTGGCTCTTGACTCAGTAAGTTTCCTTTAGTCAGGACTAAACAATGTGACCTTGATGGGGGGGGGGGGAACCACAAAATCGTTTTGTTTTTCCTTTTTTTATTCGGCCATTTCACACAATTCAGAAACACCTGAAAGAATGATAGGCCTGTGTTTATGATGTTATGAATGAAATATGCGTTAAATAGAAGAACATCAAGATGTGATTGGCTTTAGCCATGTTAACACAGTTGATTCAGCCCCTACCCGCTCATTTCATTTGGGAAGACCCAGAGGTGAATTCCCCGCCGCACCCCTCCCCTTCCTCTTCTTCATACACACACGGTGCACCTGAACCCTCAGTCAGCAGGAGCGCCTGCAGCAGCAGGGGGCGCCAACTTGCTGTTTCCAGTCCAGACACTGTCATATGACAGATAATAGAAAACCTCGGTGCGGCGCAGATTTCTTTCTTTTTTATTTTTTACTCAGCGCTTGTGCGCCCCTTTTGTGTCATGAAAAAATGCCGCCCCGGGCAACTGCCCTGTCTGCCCGTGCCTAAAACCGCTACTGCCTACTAGAGTGTAGCTCACCTAGTAGGACGTCGGACTCTCGTGCAGAAGACCTGGGTTTGATTCTGGATGTGAACATAGATTATTTAGAGTTTATTTTTTACATTAATGGTATATTTTTTTACAGTAAGATGCCCAAATTTTTATTTGAGACTCGCCGAACGGCATTGAATTCACAGATAAAAAAGATGTGGGTTCAACTTTCATTTTGGAACAATTTTTCAAGCAAGGGAAGGGAATGATCTGAGCATGCAGGAGGACTGACCCATCATAAACCTTTGTCGGCTGTGCTGAAGAGAAAGGTACAGAACCACATAATTTAATTAATTAGCTGCGTGTTCTCCTGTCCTCTGGGCCACACACACACACACACACACACACACACACACACACACACACACACACACACACACACACACACACACACACACACACACACACACACACACACACACACACGGGACTGTCTCAGCTGTTATTTTCGTTAAGGAGTGTGCACGTACAGCATGCGCGCCTCGTGCACGAGCCTACTATTGAAGCTGCCGTTACGCCTTTGGCCTGAGGGGGCAATCGCGAGCATAAAAATTCAAAAGTCCGTAAAGTCCCTTTAATGAGGTTTTGCTTTCGGAGTCTGGCAGGACGGGGGACGCGTGAGCCGTTGGATCAGATTAAAATTAGAGATCACATTTCTTTATGATGCCGTTTAAAAAATACAGCCTGGTTCAATTGTGCCGCTTCCTATTAGTGCTGATCACGTTAGTGGGCGTTGAGTTAAAATCAACAGCTGGTGTCAGTTTCAACTGGTTAAAATCTCCTTTGTTTGGATGATTTTACACACAAACAATGAATCAGAAAAAGCTTTTAAAGATCTTGTAAAGGCACTCGGTGTTTTGCAGAACCACAGCCCTTTTGTTTGTGCCGTTAAACATCACTCGTTCATTTGATCAACTATCACTCGTTCATTTTATTTCTGAACACTTTTCAGCTTAGAAAGAAAACGTGGAGATCAGCATAAAAAGCTGAAGAGGAGAACAAAAACATGTTTTTCATTTGGTCCTGCAATGCATGCAGTTGGCTCAGGGGCAGCAGTGGGTTGTCCAGTAATCAGAAGGTCGTAGGTTTGATCCCGGCAGACGACTCTGCTGTTGGGCAAGACGCTTAACCCATTCAATTCAATTCAAGTTTATTTATAAAGCGCCAAATCACGACAAGAGTCATCTCAAGGACCTGCACACAGTAAACATTCCAATACAGGTCAGTTCATTAAGCCAACCAGTAAAAAGTTTCCTTCATAAGGAACCCAGCAGGTTGCATCGAGTCACTGACTAGTGTCAGAGTCTTTACAGCAATCCTCATACTAAGCAAGCATTTAGCAACAGTGGAGAGGAAAACTCCCTTTTAACAGGAAGAAACCTCCAGAGAATCCTGGCTCAGTATAAGCAGCCATCCTCCACGACTCTCTCTCTCTCTCTCTCTCTCTCACACACACACACACACACACACACACACACACACACACACACACACACACACACACACACACACACACACACACACACACACACACACACACACACGCACACGCACTAACACACACACACACACACACACACACACACACACACACACACACACACACACACACACACACACATGCTGCCTGCTGGTGGTTGGAGGGACCGGCAGCGCCAGTCAGGGCGCTCCAGGACAGCTGTGGCTACACCCTAGCTCATCATCACCAGGGTGTGAATGTGTGGATGGCTGATTGTGTAGTAAAGGGCCTTGGGGGGTTGTAAGACTCTACAAGGCGCTGTATCAAGGGCGGGCCAAAATCTGGACAGTAACCAAGGGGAGAGTTTGAGTCTTTCTGACATCTTTTCTGAGCTTGCAAGCTGCTTCCATGAGTCATGTGATCTACATCCCATCTGATTGGTTGTTGCCATGAACCTTCTGGTCCACTTTGTGGGCTGGCTGGAGAGCTGGATTTGGCCCAGGAGCCAGCAGTTGACTACCGCTAGCATACAGCAGCAGTTACTGAGCCTAACCGACCTGACAAACCCAATTAATGTGATGACGGGCTTTGACCTTTAACCCTTCCTTGACCCTCCTGCAGAGCGAGCCATTGCCAGACACGAGGTCCGGGAGGTGGAGCAGCGGCACACACACGATGGCCTGCGGGAGCGAGAATCAGCCGCCGTTCAGTCAGACGGCGAGGACGACCTGGTGATCATCTACAACCGCGTGCCCAAGACGGCCAGCACCTCCTTCACCAACATCGCTTACGACCTGTGTGGGCGGAACCACTACCATGTCCTCCACATTAACACCACTAAAAACAATCCGGTGATGTCCATCCAGGACCAGGTCAGAGCCCCGAGGCCTGCTCCCCGACTCCAGGTCCGGTACTGTAATCAGCTGCTGGAGTAATCCAAACTCTGTTTGGTCCAGGTCCGCTTTGTGAAGAACGTGACTGAATGGAGAGACATGAAGCCAGCTTTCTACCACGGACACGTCTCCTTCCTGGATTTCACCAAGTAAAGAACACACGTAACAGGTTTATGACGGTAAACGGCAGTCCCTCTGATCCTGCTCTGACCCATTTCCTCCTCTCCAGGTTTGGAGTGATGAGGAAGCCCGTCTACATAAACATGATCCGTGACCCGATTGAGAGGCTGGTGTCCTATTATTACTTTCTACGCTTTGGAGATGACTACAGGCCCGGCCTGAGACGCAGGAAACAAGGAGATAAGAAGGTAACACGAAACAGCCTCGACAAAGAAGCCTTCAGTAGGACCAGGTTTGAAGCATTGCTTCAGTTTCAGAAGAAACTCTTCTCTAACGCAACGTGCTCGGGGTTCTAAGGGTTCTGAAGAACCTGTTGCTTTATTTCTGGTTCCACCCAAATGATCCACTCCCCGAGCATCTTTTCTCTGTTCCTGTTATAAAACTACAACATCCAGATTCTTCACACTTGGACAAGATTCTTGTAGACTAACGGCGCTGTAGCGATATCCAGCGACTGCGGTTCACACACATCCGGCTTGCTCGTGCACCGACGTTTGTTAGTTCTCACAAGCTCCTCTCTCACAGGGGCGGTTCATGTCTCACCTCATTATTCTTCTGTCTCCTGGAACTAATCGCACCAGAACCCGGGGCACCGCCACAAGCAGATTCTGTGAAACTTAGTTTTTGATTTGGGAAATCTTTATTTGATGTGTGAATTTTTATTAAGATGCAAATGTAGCATTTATTAGCATCTGGGCTACATTGGAACTGGTCCAGTTAAAAAACTACAGAACCTGGAAACCAGATTTACATAATAAAATACACATAGCAGAAACCCTGTCTGTCTCTTTCTCTTCCTGTCTATCTCTCTTTCTCTCCCTGTCTGTCTCTCTTACTCACCCTGTCTCTTTTTCTCACCCTGTCTGTCTCGCTTTCTCTCCCTGTCTGTCTCTCTTTCTCACCCTGTCTGTCTCTCTTACTCACCCTGTCTCTTTTTCTCACCCTGTCTGTCTCGCTTTCTCTCCCTGTCTGTCTCTCTTTCTCACCCTGTCTGTCTCTCTTACTCACCCTGTCTCTTTTTCTCACCCTGTCTGTCTCGCTTTCTCTCCCTGTCTGTCTCTCTTTCTCACCCTGTCTGTCTCTCTTACTCACCCTGTCTCTTTTTCTCACCCTGTCTGTCTCGCTTTCTCTCCCTGTCTGTCTCTCTTTCTCACCCTGTCTGTCTCTCTTACTCACCCTGTCTCTTTTTCTCACCCTGTCTGTCTCGCTTTCTCTCCCTGTCTGTCTCTCTTACTCACCCTGTCTCTTTTTCTCACCCTGTCTGTCTCGCTTTCTCTCCCTGTCTTTCTCTCTTTCTCTCCCTGTCTTTCTCTCTTTCTCTCCCTGTCAGTCTCTCTTTCTCTCCCTGTCTCTTTTTCTAACCCTGTCTGTCTCTCTTTCTCTCCCTGTCTGTCTCGCTTTCTCTCCCTGTCTTTCTCTCTTTCTCTCCCTGTCTTTCTCTCTTTCTCTCCCTGTCAGTCTCTCTTTCTCTCCCTGTCTTTCTCTCTTTCTCTCCCTGTCTTTCTCTCTTTCTCTCCCTGTCAGTCTCTCTTTCTCTCCCTGTCTCTTTTCTCACCCTGTCTTTCTCTCTTTCTCTCCCTGTCAGTCTCTCTTACTCTCCCTGTCTTTCTCTCTTTCTCTCCCTGTCTTTCTCTCTTTCTCTCCCTGTCTTTCTCTCTTTCTCTCCCTGTCAGTCTCTCATTCTCTCCCTGTCTCTTTTTCTCACCCTGTCTGTCTCTCTTTCTCTCCCTGTCTTTCTCTCTTTCTCTCCCTGTCTTTCTCTCTTTCTCTCCCTGTCAGTCTCTCTTTCTCTCCCTGTCTCTTTTCTCACCCTGTCTTTCTCTCTTTCTCTCCCTGTCAGTCTCTCTTACTCACCCAGTCTCTTTTTCTCACCCTGTCTGTCTCACTTTCTCTCCCTGTCTTTCTCGCTTTCTCTCCCTGTCTTTCTCTCTTTCTCTCCCTGTCTGTCTCGCTTTCTCTCCCTGTCTTTCTCTCTTTCTCTCCCTGTCAGTCTCTCTTTCTCTCCCTGTCTCTTTTTCTCACCCTGTCTGTCTCTTTTTCTCTCCCTGTCTGTCTCTCTTTCTCTCCCTGTCTGTCTCTCTTTCTCTCCCTGTCTTTCTCTCTTTCTCTCCCTGTCAGTCTCTCTTTCTCTCCCTGTCTCTTTTTCTCACCCTGTCTGTCTCTTTTTCTCTCCCTGTCTATCTCTCTTTCTCTCCCGTCTGTCTCGCTTTCGCTCCCTGTCTGTCTCGCTTTCTCTCCCTGTCTGTCTCTTACTCACCCTGTCTGTCTCTCTTACTCACCCTGTCTCTTTTTCTCACCCTGTCTCTTTTTCTCACCCTGTCTCTTTTTCTCACCCTGTCTGTCTCGCTTTCTCTCCCTTTCTGTCTCTCTTTCTCACCCTGTCTGTCTCTCTTACTCACCCTGTCTATTTTTCTCACCCTGTCTGTCTCACTTTCTCACCCTGTCTGTCTCGCTTTCTCTCCCTGTCTGTCTCTCTTTCTCTCCCTGTCTGTCTCTCTTTCTCTCCCTGTCTGTCTCTCTTTCTCTCCCTGTCTGTCTCTCTTTCTCTCCCTGTCTGTCTCTCTTTCTCTCCCTGTCTTTCTCTCTTTCTCTCCCTGTCTTTCTCTCTTTCTCTCCCTGTCAGTCTCTCTTTCTCTCCCTGTCTCTTTTCTCACCCTGTCTTTCTCTCTTTCTCTCCCTGTCAGTCTCTCTTACTCTCCCTGTCTTTCTCTCTTTCTCTCCCTGTCTTTCTCTCTTTCTCTCCCTGTCTTTCTCTCTTTCTCTCCCTGTCAGTCTCTCTTTCTCTCCCTGTCTCTTTTTCTCACCCTGTCTGTCTCTCTTTCTCTCCCTGTCTTTCTCTCTTTCTCTCCCTGTCTTTCTCTCTTTCTCTCCCTGTCAGTCTCTCTTTCTCTCCCTGTCTCTTTTCTCACCCTGTCTTTCTCTCTTTCTCTCCCTGTCAGTCTCTCTTACTCACCCAGTCTCTTTTTCTCACCCTGTCTGTCTCACTTTCTCTCCCTGTCTTTCTCGCTTTCTCTCCCTGTCTTTCTCTCTTTCTCTCCCTGTCTGTCTCGCTTTCTCTCCCTGTCTTTCTCTCTTTCTCTCCCTGTCAGTCTCTCTTTCTCTCCCTGTCTCTTTTTCTCACCCTGTCTGTCTCTTTTTCTCTCCCTGTCTGTCTCTCTTTCTCTCCCTGTCTGTCTCTCTTTCTCTCCCTGTCTTTCTCTCTTTCTCTTCCTGTCTATCTCTCTTTCTCTCCCGTCTGTCTCGCTTTCGCTCCCTGTCTGTCTCGCTTTCTCTCCCTGTCTGTCTCTTACTCACCCTGTCTGTCTCTCTTACTCACCCTGTCTCTTTTTCTCACCCTGTCTCTTTTTCTCACCCTGTCTCTTTTTCTCACCCTGTCTGTCTCGCTTTCTCTCCCTGTCTGTCTCTCTTTCTCACCCTGTCTGTCTCTCTTACTCACCCTGTCTATTTTTCTCACCCTGTCTGTCTCACTTTCTCACCCTGTCTGTCTCGCTTTCTCTCCCTGTCTGTCTCTCTTTCTCTCCCTGTCTGTCTCTCTTTCTCTCCCTGTCTGTCTCTCTTTCTCTCCCTGTCTGTCTCTCTTTCTCTCCCTGTCTTTCTCACTTTCTCTCCCTGTCTGTCTCGCTTTCTCTCCCTGTCTTTCTCTCTTTCTCTCCCTGTCTGTCTCTCTTTCTCTCCCTGTCAGTCTCTCTTTCTCTCCCTGTCTCTCTCTTTCTCACCCTGTCTTTCTCACTTTCTCTCCCTGTCTTTCTCTCTTTCTCTCCCTGTCAGTCTCTTTCTCTCCCTGTCTCTCTCTTTCTCACCCTGTCAGTCTCTCTTTCTCTCCCTGTCTCTCTCTTTCTCACCCTGTCTTTCTCACTTTCTCTCCCTGTCTTTCTCTCCCTGTCAGTCTCTCTTTCTCTCCCTGTCTCTCTCTTTCTCACCCTGTCAGTCTCTCTTTCTCTCCCTGTCTCTCTCTTTCTCACCCTGTCTTTCTCACTTTCTCTCCCTGTCTGTCTCTCTTTCTCTCCCTGTCAGTCTCTCTTTCTCTCCCTGTCTGTCTCTCTTTCTCTCCCTGTCAGTCTCTCTTTCTCTCCCTGTCTCTCTCTTTCTCACCCTGTCTGTCTCTCTTTCTCTCCCTGTCTGTCTCTCTTTCTCTCCCTGTCTGTCTCTCTTTCTCTCCCTGTCTGTCTCTCTTTCTCTCCCTGTCTTTCTCACTTTCTCTCCCTGTCTGTCTCTCTTTCTCTCCCTGTCTTTCTCACCTTCTCCCCTGTCTGTCTCTTTCTCTCCCTGTCTCTCTCTTTCTCTCCCTGTCAGTCTCTTTCTCTCCCTGTCTCTCTCTTTCTCACCCTGTCTGTCTCGCTTTCTCTCCCTGTCTTTCTCTCTTTCTCTCCCTGTCAGTCTCTCTTTCTCTCCCTGTCTCTTTTTCTCACCCTGTCTGTCTCGCTTTCTCTCCCTGTCTTTCTCTCTTTCTCTCCCTGTCAGTCTCTCTTTCTCTCCCTGTCTCTTTTTCTCACCCTGTCTTTCTCTCTTTCTCTCCCTGTCAGTCTCTCTTACTCACCCAGTCTCTTTTCTCACCCTGTCTGTCTCACTTTCTCTCCCTGTCTTTCTCGCTTTCTCTCCCTGTCTTTCTCGCTTTCTCTCCCTGTCTTTCTCTCTTTCTCTCCCTGTCTGTCTCGCTTTCTCTCCCTGTCTTTCTCTCTTTCTCTCCCTGTCAGTCTCTCTTTCTCTCCCTGTCTCTTTTTCTCACCCTGTCTGTCTCTTTTTCTCTCCCTGTCTGTCTCTCTTTCTCTCCCTGTCTTTCTCTCTTTCTCTTCCTGTCTATCTCTTTTTCTCTCCCGTCTGTCTCGCTTTCGCTCCCTGTCTGTCTCGCTTTCTCTCCCTGTCTGTCTCTTACTCACCCTGTCTGTCTCTTACTCACCCTGTCTGTCTCTCTTACTCACCCTGTCTCTTTTTCTCACCCTGTCTCTTTTTCTCACCCTGTCAGTCTCGCTTTCTCTCCCTGTCTGTCTCTCTTTCTCACCCTGTCTGTCTCTCTTACTCACCCTGTCTGTCTCACTTTCTCTCCCTGTCTTTCTCGCTTTCTCTCCCTGTCTGTCTCTCTTTCTCTCCCTGTCTGTCTCTCTTTCTCTCCCTGTCTGTCTCTCTTTCTCTCCCTGTCTGTCTCTCTTTCTCTCCCTGTCTGTCTCTCTTTCTCTCCCTGTCTGTCTCT